ATAATATCATGGCTTACTTTTCTTATGGCTCTAGGAATAAAAATTAAAATTAATTCATTCTATTTATTCGTGTATTAACAGTTACTTTTCTATTATAGCTTGTTTAGGTGATAATATACAGGTTACCACACTTACTCAACCATTTTCTTATTAAACTTTTTTTTAACCTGTCTTATTACGGGACGCTGAGAAGCGCATATTTATTAGATCTTATTTTAATTACAATATAAATGATGGCGTTGTTTGCTCATTTAGACTACTATGCATTTAATGTTGATGTTGATTTAAATTAATTACTAAGTGGATAAGTAGTGCTTTTTTGCTCCTATTTCTTTTTTTTTTGTTTTGCTTAGTAAAGATTTTATTCTATTTGTTATATATCATAAAAGGAATGAACCGAGTATAATAGCACTAGATTTCATACATTGTTTTAATAAGTCTTTAAAACTTTAGAACTAAATACACTACTGCATAAGGATTATATTATCGAACCATTTTCACTTTCCATATTTGGAAGATATTTGAAGCGAAGCAAATAAATTAAGGTCAGGTTGTTTCAAGGTTAAGAATTATGCAAGTATAATTGCTTTCCCGACATTTTTATTAATGCACCAAGACAAGTTTATTACTTGTTTCATGTATCTTTATTTTGTTGGCTTTTTTTTTCTTTCGTAGAAGTTTGCGATTTGATTTGTTAATCGACGTAAATCTTTATATAAGAAAATTGAAAAAATGGGTCGCTAACATATCAGATAAACTACAGTCATACCTGAGTTATATCCCCACTGGGTTAAATCCCAACCTGAGTTATATCCCCATATTTAAGCTGAATAAATTTCTTTTTTTTATATGTTTTTATATGTTTTATATATTGAGTTATATCCCTGCCTTAGTTATATCTCCAAAATGCTCTGGAAAAAAGGGGGGATATAACCCAGGTATGACTGTAATATGTGCCAAATTTGATTAAAACTAGTTTATATGAGGTATGGCAGATACAATAACGGAAAATTTTCATATTATTGCCGCAAGTTTTTAAGCGAAAATTATTTTCGTACCTCTAATGTTAGCTAGTGACTTTAGTGATAATTTCCGTGATTTTTAGTGATCATCTGATTAACTGTGCACGGAATTTGGGACACGAAAATAAATTCGTATGTTAGTTAGTGTTAATGTTTATAGCGAAACCAAAATTAGAAGGATGAGGAAATCATTATCGTAATTGTAAACTCGCTTTCACTTTCGTGAATTATGTGAATTTCGCGAATTTCGTGAATTTCATGAATTTCGTAGTTTTCGTGACCTTTGTAGTTTTCGCGAATTTGACTTTAGTTAATAATTTATATTGTATAAAGTAACAATTTAAAAACTATAAAAGTGGTGCTTATCCGCCTTGAAAATAAACTCAACTCTTGGAGTTCAAAGTCTTCGAATATTTGTCTTTGTTCAAAAATCGTTCGTCGTTATCGTATTTTCTTGTCCCTGACTATCGAATATCGTATTGTCGTATTTAGTAAAAGGGAGAAACTGTATTAGTAATGCACTCGCACCATATCATATTACAGTATTAAAGTGTAATAGTACTGTATTATATTTCACATTATTATAATATTTATTATGGCATTACGGCATTACTGCATATAATATTTACGGCAATCAGGTACTGTGCCGTAATTAATTCTACCAACTGGTAAAATGCCGTAACGGTAAATTCAGTAATTCTACTGCAAACTATAATCGGGGCTGTGCTGGCTGCGCAGCCTGTGCAGTAGATTCAAAAAATCTTCATCCTTATTCAAGCCACATGACTCGGGACCCGAAATGCGGATTGATAGATTTGGCTTGAGGCGATGCTCCATTGAGAACAATAGTAAGGCGTCACTGGTATTCACATAGCGGGAACTAAAGTCATTGTCAACCCCCCTAGCATGACCACCAAAATCAGTTACGTAATCGCTGTTTAAAATCTGAGATCTTGTAACCCAGCAAATTTTCGATCAAAACTTTTATTGCGTAAGATATTATAACGATAAATTTAAAATTTTTTATTATAAAATTTATATTGCGTAAGATATTATAACGATAAAATTTGCAATTTTTACTATGAAATTTATATTGCGCAAAATATTATAGCAATAAAATTTAAAATTTAATTATAAAAATTTTTATTGTGTAAAAAGAAAAAGCATGTTCGTTCGAAATTATTTTGTGAACTTTATCTAACTTTGCATACTATAATGTAAAATATTTATGAATTTTGAATTCATTACCAATAAAAAGTATTCTTGTTTCGTTTATTCCAGGTTTTTGGAAGGTTTTTTGCTTGGTTCAGATTTTTTATATCATCTACCATTTTTTGAATCGGTTTGAAGTTTGATTCAATATTTTTCAACCATTTTCTTTGCTGTGGAAGGTTATAAGACTTTTCAAGAAGGTCAAGCGTCTATATTATAGTAATATTAATATTACTTTTATTTATTATGTTATACATTTAATTCAATAAAAATAATAAATAAGCTATACCTCATGAAGAGTTTTTTTATACTGATCAACAATTTCCAATTCAGTTTCATCATCATTTGATTCGTCATCTTCTACAATATTATTGTTATCAAGAACAGTTGAATTAATTGTTATTGTAGAAAGTTGTGCATGGTCAGATGATATGCGAATATTCTCCCATATCATTTTTTCAGCTTCTTCAATTAATGGATAATTTGAATTTCGTTGAACCTAAATTGAAAATTATTAATAAATATATATATATTCGAAAATACAATATAAATAAATCTATCAAACCTTTCTAAAGAATGAAGTGGGCGTATTTCCTAAAGGATTGACGAGGTGTTTGCACAGATAAAATCTGCTTTTGAAAAAATAGGAGCAAGAGCATATCCAATGCTCATTACTTGTTAGATACTTTTTGTATTTTTAGTTGAATGCATAACAAGCTTTTGCCATTCATTTTTAAAGTCATCACACCAAGATGGTAATATTCTTTCATGTAAAAGTAAATGATATCGTTGTAATTGCATGGGTAATAATTTTTCAACTAAAATGTAACAGACGAGGTCAATGTGAGGCTGATTAAACTTGTATAAGTAATCTCTTTTTAAAATACGCCAATGAGATTCAATCATTATTGTTGTGCGGATTACTGAAATTTCTAATAAAGCAGACAATGCCCAAAGTGATCACCTATTCCAACGGTACCATTTATTCCATAAATATGACCATATGTGTAATAAGTTTTTGTGATAACAATAGTTGAATATTTCACGAACAGATCGCATCCATATTTCTTGAGGTGATGTAACAAACTCTTTATCAGCAGTAGGTATCAACATGTGACGGTGAAAATGAGTTTCTACAAAATCCAGTACATCTTTTCTTAATTCGGCTTTAAGAAAAACCTTATTTTTATCATTATTACATAAAACTGTATTTGTACATCGAAAAAGATCTTCATTCCACATAGGATCAATCACCGAACATTCATTATGAGCTTTATTTGCATTATAACAAATATTTATTCTTTTTATAGTTGAAGAAAGTTTTTGCTCTATAGCACGTTTAACATGCCATTTGTATAGTTGTACTCTAATATTCTTCCAAATAGCTTGTGCACTAGAGATTTGTGAAAAATCTTTATCAGACAGTAATATTTTTACATTGTTAATAT